TGGCCAGGAACCACAGCCAATAGGAGCTGGGGGGCAGTGCCTGCGGGCAAGAGCAGTGAGTGGAGCCTCCTGCCCTCCCCGCCCCTGCCTAGGAGCTGGACCTGCTGGTAGCTGCTTCTGGGGCCCAGCGCGGAGCCTGCCTTAGCACCGCTGTGCCATTGACCGGGAGCCACCTGAGATAAGCCCACTCCCCAGCCCTGAGCCCCAAGCCCCTGCCCCAGCCTGAGCCCCCCAAACCCAGAGCCCCAAGAGCCTGCACCCCCAGGCAGAGCCCGCATGCCCCTGCACCAGCCCAGAGCCCCCTCCCACACCCTGAACCCCTCATCCCCGGCCCCGCCCCAGAGCCCGCACCCCCACCCCAGAGCCCGTACCCTCTCCTACACCCCAACCCCCTGCCTCAATCTGCAGCCCCCCTCCCACATTCCAAATCCCTCAGCCCCACCCCCCCATCCTGGAGCCCCCTCCTGCACCCCCAAACCCCTCGTCCCCAGCCCCACCCCAGAACCCACACCCCCAGCCAGAGCTCTCTCGCACCCCAACTCCCTGCCCCACCCTGGAGCCCCCTCCTGCACCTTGAACCCCTCATTTCTGGCCCCACCCCAGAGCCCACACCCCCAGTTAGAGCCCTCACCCCCTCTCGCACCCCAATCCCCTGCCCCAGCCCAGTGAGGGTGGGGGAGACCAAACTACCGAGGAAGGGGGAATGTAGTGAGTGGGGGGGGGCCCTCAGGGAAGGGGCAGGGCTAGGGTGTTTGGTTTTGTTCAGTTAGAAAGTTGCCAACTCTATTTACATTACTAGAGCAGCACAAGAGGGCTGGATCAGCTTGAAAATGTGTTGCAATATTTTTTGAACATATGTAGCACCACATCAGGTATCCAGCATGGCTTCAATAGGGCGCCCTCGGGGTTAAGGTAAAAGCATAATTTAAATCATAGATGTATATTCTCTCAATGTGTTTTCAATTTAAATCATGTAAAATAGGGCTGAACAGGGCACACATCCAGGAACAAGCATACATAGCCATAAAAGGCATCATTACTAACCCATGAAACAGAGATGGGAAGATGCAGCCAACATAAATGATTGGAGGTGTGGAATCAAGTTTCTAATAAAAATGACTTTTATGTAAGTAGAAAGTCAGCCTTTATATAAGCCATCATTAAAGAGCCTGTATTATGTCATTATCTAACCAAAAATCCTTGCTGACAGGTTCCCCCTTCCTATTGTTTAGTAAAATAATAACTGTTTTGATGACTGACTAAGGTTTTTATTTCAGGTGATGTGGAAAAAATACTGTTTTGGATTAAACACAATGTGAATGCTGTTAGCATATAAAAGACTCTATTACATAAGAATAGGAGCCTTGGATATCACAAACAAAAATATAACCTACCCAGATATAACCAGTTAAAGCTGTTTTTAATGTGATATTAAGCAAAATCAGCTGGTGTTAATTAGAGAAGCCGCAAAAAAATTTGCTAGAGATCTGAATTATGGTGATTAAATCCCATTAGACTGATTTAGAAAAAATCCACCAACTGGAGGCCATTCAGTATATTAAGCAGACAATAAAAAGAGCAAGCACAAAAGTTTCTGATGTTCATGCGTTTTCCTATGTTATGTGAAAATAGCAAATACTTTAAAACAAAATGTGCTTTTCATTATACTTTTATGAAATGGCACTATTTCCATTCAAACAAAGGTCTTCTCTGTGCAACATTAGAAATTTAATGTTTTATATAAAACATATGTGCATCTAAATGTGATTTCCCATTTGGAATTTCAGATTTGAATTTGAAAAGTTTTGATATTCATTTACTTGAAAATTGAACCGTTTCACTTGAAAATAATCCTATTCTTGCATGAAAAAACCCAAAAGATTAGACAAGATTTAGAACCTTAAACAAATGTGTCACCTGAAAGGTGTGCAGAAGAGGAAGAGCTTTGTCACAAACAGGGTTTTCCAAGTTCTCACAACTCTGGTATCACTAGTCACTATAACAAAACTTTTATAACTTGATAAACATAGTGTAGACCAAAGCTCAATTTTTACAGGACCTGGATTCAAATTTGAGTTCCAAGGAGAAAATTCAGCCATAGCTGCTCATATAGTAAATGGAGCAAACTAAGAATGTTTAGTACAAAAGCACTGTGGTTGGACTTGTTGATAATTGCAGTCCTTCCTGACAGAATCGGGATTGAGTATCATATGGATGGCCAACTCCTCAATCTTTGACATCTCCAAACAAAATCTAAGATCACGAGAATTGGCATCACTGACCTTCAGTATGCAGATGACTGTATCATTCTTGCACACACAGAGGCCGACCTGCAAAGCACCCTAAATCTTTTTGCAGGTGCCTATCACAGACTGGCTCAACATCAGGAAATCCAAGGTATTCTACCAGCCCTCACCTGCACACACTACTCTTCGTACTCCACAAATCATCATCAGCGGAGAACCCTTGGAAAATGTAGACCATTTTCCATACCTTGGCATCCAGCTCTCCCAAACAGCCAGCATTGGCACAGAAATTGAATACAGGATCCACTGTGCCAGCACATCTTTTGGAAGACCACTCAAATGAGTCTTCAATGATAGGGATCTGCAAACAGGTACCAAGATCTTGGTTTACAAGGCAGTTGTCATCCCTATCCTTCTTCTATTGAGACCTGAGTAACCTACAGACGACATCTCAAGCATCTGAAGTGGTTCCAGCAGCACTGCCTCAGGAGGATTCTCAGGATCAGCGGCGAAGACCGACACACGAACACCAGCGTTCTCTCTGCAGCCAACGTCAGCAGTATAGAAGTGCAGGTCATGAAACACCAACTCCGCTGGGCTGGCCACTGTGTACATATACCTGACACTTGCCTTCCAAAGCCAGTATTCTTCTCTCATTAAGGGAAGAAAAAGGGCTCGCGGAGGGCAGTGGAAGCGTTTCAAAGACTTACTGAAAAGGGAGGCATCCACCCAACAAACTGGGAGGACTCAGCGCAGAATAGAACACAGTGGTGCCACACCATACACCAAGCCACAGCTCACTTTGAGGAGAACAGATGTGCTCATGAGACAGAGAAGCGACAAAGGAGGAAAGAAAAGGCACAACACTCCAGCCAACAACTATGTATCCTCCAAGATTACACCAGTCACTTCTCTGGGAAAATCTGCAGGGCAAGAATTGGGCTCCTCAGCCACTTAAAAACTCACCAATGTACCCCCTTGGCAGACATCATCCTCGCATCGAGGGTTAGCCAAAGAAGAAGAATTGCACTAGTTAGGGGGCTTATTCCTTCACTCATTTACTTCCCTGGTCCTTCTCACATGAACAGAGAGCAACAATACCCGAAGTCCAAAGGTGCAAACAATTCGATGTTTATTGGGGTGAACTTCCAGCAAGCATGATTCCAGTTTCCTTCCTTAGTGTCCCCCTTCCCAGCTCTGACACCACAGAGGCTTACCTGTGTCCCTGTTTCCATTTACCCGTTTAGCGAAACATGATTCCAATTTCCCCACCCCCATTCCCTGTTCCCATTTCCCCCCACACCCACCCACTTCCTGATTGACTGCAGACTATATAGTAAAACTTGAGTTCTGCTTAGCTATACCTTAACCAATCATTTTCCTGAAATTTAACTAACCAATCCTAACATATTGTAACATGATTGTGTAACCAATTATATCCCACCACCTTAATTAGTTTACACCCAGAAAAATTATACAGCAGACAGGAACAATCACAGAACCAGATAGAGATTATACAGACAAACAATAGCAAAGTGGGAACTATAATGACAAAACAATACAGAAGTGAGGATTTCACATCCCAGCTATTGATAAGTGAGTTCTTGCCAGATAGGATGCTATCAAACTAAGTTTCCTTTTACATCTTCTAGGCACTTCCCTTTCTCTGGAGGCGATAGGCACTATCAGGACAGGATTGTATTCCTAACAGCTCAATAGCACCTTATTTCAATGTGACTAGTTTGGAATGTGAGGATGTGACCGTTCCCTTCCCAGCTTATGGCTGCCTCTGTTGCTTAGCCAAAGGCCTTAGCCTAAGAACAGGGCCTCAGACTGTCACAGTAAGAGAAGGCTCTTACACTGGCAGACAGTGATTTTGATTCTTTTATACCTCTATAACTAGCCAAGTGATAAGAATACACCTAAATTCTTAGCGTATAGGCCTTTACAGACAGGCCTGAATATCTATATCCTAACAGCACTCATAACCCTGAGTTCCTTGAAACGGCATCCTGCATTTCAGTCTTCAGCTATTTTGGTCCCAGTTCATTAAATAATCTGAACTCTACTCAGGGAAAATCATGAAAAGCAGATTTCATTTTAGTACAGTATGTACATTGTTTATTCCTGAAATATTTTTTCTTCAAATACAAGTACCTGAAATGCTTTTCTCTCTAGAGTATAAGTGGCTACTTCATCATTTAACCGAGGTGTGTCCAAAAAGGAGACAGGAAGGGTGGAAGGGCCACGCTCCAGACCGTAGCATGCTGTATAGTACTTACGCTGATTTTAAAAGGGAAAGCAAAGTGGAGGTGTTTCACACAACAGTAGGTTAAGATTGAGACACTTTTCTTACACTTTACCTTGCCAGACAATCAATACTGGCAAAAGGCCAATCCTGAAACATTTCTGGGAGCAATCGTTCATGTAAGTAGTCTCTTTGTACTTGGTGCATGAGGGAGGGTTTGCAGTATTTGGCCCTAATACACTGCTTGAAGCATGATTCATGTATGCTTTGCTGTCAAAGACTTGAAAGTCTCCTTCAGGAAATCTGGTCACCAGTACCAGATGTGACATTGTTCTGGCAGTTTCTGGGGAGTAGAATAAATAGGTTAATGCACCACCACTCCATCTCTGGAGATCAGAGTTCAAATCTGAATTCTGGAAACGAGCACAGACGAATGTTTAGATCTCTCAACCGATATCCTCTGGATCATTTCTTGCTACTTAAAAAACAAACACAACTTGGCTTACCTGGCAGCCTTTGTTCAAGGGAAGGCTGGATGGAATAGAGGAGGTGGCTCACGTGAGTGCTGTATTTTCATTCAGATTATGTTCATGATTAATCCACTTTCACTTCAAGGAAAGTTAGAAAAGAGAAATGAAATTTGGACTGCTGATCAAAGGGTGAACTAACTTCAATCCAGACAGAGGGTATGGCTGTATCCTTGAAGAGTTTTAATATTTCTCTCCAACAAGCCCCGTTATTAAACAGGAGCCCTCCAGCTGGAAGATGGAACTGGGATTCCTAGTGAGCACCTGTATGGAGTGGAGCAGAGCTTTGAGAGAGCATCAGAAACAAAGTTATTGGCTTGGCATGCTGGGTGACCAGAGCAGTTTGAAAGTTTGATTGTCTGTTGCAAACTGGTTTCTCAGAAGGGCATTTTGCAGTTCTTTTATTCGTGCTGTGGCTCAGCAGCACCTGTCTGAAGACCTAAGGAAAACCATCTGGTTCCAAAATGTGTGAATAGCATATGTTCGGAAATCAGGTACAAGAGCAGACCTACAAAATGCCAACAAAACTAGAGCTAAGTATGATGAATTTATTTCCTTCCTGTGTATCCAATTGGTGGTTTATAAAAGGAAATAATAGAAATGTAGGGCTGGAAGGGACTTTAGAAGATCACCAAATCCAGTTCCGTGTGCTGAGGCAGGACCAAGTACCCTTGACAGGTGTTTGTCCAACCTGTTTTTAAAAACTTCCAGCAATGGGGATTCCACAATTTCCCTTGGAAGCCTATTCCAGAGTTTAACTATCCTTATAGTTAGCAAGTTTTTCCTAATATCTAACCTAAATCTCCCTTACTGCAGATTAAGCCCATTACTGCTTTTCCTATCTTCACTGGACATGGAGAATAATGCTTCAAGTCAGAGATGCCTAAGGAGTTACTTTAATTATTTTAAACCATATAAACAAAAACCAAATAGTGCTTTATCACATTCATTACCAGCAGTTCCTCTCATATACTAACATAAGAAATGTTTTTACTGAGCTTTAGATTACAAGGATAATATTGTTCTGTCTCTTTTAATTAAAACAGCATGCTGTTTAATCTGCTTATGGCATTAGTGACTTTTAGCATTTAATCAGTAGGCTTTTCGTAAACCGCTTTTACCAGGCAGTTTGGGGAATGTTTACCACTGCAAGTAACAGGGCTTTGCATTTGCATATTAACTTGTTTAGAGCAGTGACTTTTTCTTTTTTTTTTTTTTGGAAAGTTCAGTACTCTTAATGAACAACTCCACAATCAGTCAAGTAATGCAAGCTTGAACGTACAACATGTACTCAGGAAAGTACAAAGAATAAGTTACTTGAAGAGAGTGTCTCTCACTGAGGTCCTCTTGAAAAAGAAAGCATTTAAACAAACAGCAATTTACGTAGCCAGTAATTTTCTCTGCTTGTGCTACTGTTGGTCATATTTGTGCTTGGATAAGAACTTTATTTTCCTGTAGTCCATGTTAGTTCTTTGTCTGCCCCAGACCTGCCTCAGCCATAATGCTCTGATGCAAAAATAATAGGGTGAAGTTCTTTGGCCTGTGTCATACAGGAGGTCACACAAGATGATTGGAATGACTCCTTCTTGCCTTAAAATCTATGATCCTATGAACAATTCTGTGTTTATGACACCACCCTGGCTTTAGGTGAAAATGACTTTTTAATGTCAGAAATGAGACATTAGGGGGCAGTCCTCCATCAGTGCATGTGTAGAACTCTTCCTATTGAAATCAATCAGGAGTTCAGAGTAAAATTCAGTGGCAGGAGATAGCCATATGCTTTTGCTGCATGACCAAGGAATAGAAGCTGGGAAATGTAGGAGGAAACCCGTTTAAACTCAACAATCTGCAACAGATAATGATGAACGCTGATTTGAAAAAGCTATTCCCTATGAAATAGCCTAGAACTCCAAGGCAGCTCATATTTTCAAGCTTCTTTTGTAATTTCTATTTTTTAGGCAGTATTGGCCAAATTTATCCCTGGTATAACTCCACTAAATCTATTATCCCCAGAATGAATCTGGCACCTGATTTCTGTTCTGTGTAAAATAGAGATAATGTTCCTGCATTGTTGAGCTCCACCTTAATGTACTTTTTACATCATGTCATCTGGATAATTAAGTCCAGTTTTGCCTTCAACATAAACATGTATTTCTGCCTTATTCAGTGTTATGACATCTAGATTATTACATAAACACACAAAAAGAGAAACACAGTTCACTTTCCTCAGTTAAATTTGCTCTATCTCATTAGCTTTATTGAAATGGAGTTAAACACAAGAATACCCTGTTGACTCGTAGTCCAGCCCCTCCCCCCCACACACACGTTCCATACTTTATCTAGATTGTCCTTCATGCTAAATGTAAAAATATTTTGTTTTATTTCAATCTGTATCTAATGAGAAGGTTTTATAAGTACATTTATAACTAATTTTATAAGTAAATTAGACTGGGCTGGTAGTTTCATATGTAACTTTTTATTCCTCACTGGAACACAAACTGCCCATCGAGCCTTGTATCAGTTAGTCATTTGCTGTGAGAGCACTGAAAGCAAAGGCTTACCACCCGAGGAAGGGTAACAGGGAAAATTTAGTTAAATACAATGCTTTTTCTGTAAGACAGTCAGCTTCAGTGTACGAATGATGAATGTAAACTGTGCATTCTGAAACTCGTTGATTGTTCCTTTCAGTGGTACAGTACTTATGACAAAAAAGGATCCAGCATTACACTGTTTTCCACTGATTTTCATTATTTCTCCCAATTCTTTTTAATTGAATAAAAATGCTGGGGTTTGTATGTAAATTTGTAGGGCCAAATTCATCAGTGGTATAGGTGGATGCTGCTGCATTGAAGTCAATGTTTTATATCTGCTTACACCAACAATAACTGTTGCCTCTGGCATATTTTTGCATAGAAAATATCATTCTCATTCTCTTTAATAGTAAAGTGACTTCTCTTTCTTCTCATAGATAATCAACTGATCAGGCATACATGAACAACATTACCAAGAAGACTCCCTCACATAAATGAATCCTATAGGTAGGATGCTAGATTTTATTAATTTTATGGATACATTATGTATTAATAGTGCTAAATCAGTTATATCACAGTAAAATACCTTGGTATTGGGGATCTATGGATTCTAATACTGGATTTACTTAGTATTTCAAGAGCTGTTTTTAATTTTCATTCTCTGTAACTTTATGACCATGTTTCTCTCCCTCTTAGAAGAAATTGCCAAGAAAGTTGAGATCCCACAGTGACAAACATGCAAACCTGGCAGGGGAGTGAAACAGAGTCTTCAATAGCCATGAAACTGACAGAATGAAAGATTGTTGTTTATTAGCTTAATTTTTTATTCAGAGAGGAAGAATGGTCATGTGATACTGGCATTAGACTGGGACTCAGTGTGTTTGGGGTAAACCACTAATCTCTCTGTTCCTCAGTTCCCCATCTGTAAAATGGGAATAATGATACTTATCTATTTAGGTGCAGGATAAAAAAATATTTAAGTGCCTAAGTTCCATTGTCAAAAGTGACTCAGGCACTTGGAGACTTAGGACCAGATTAAAGGTATTTAGGTGCCTAACTCCCATTGGACCTTTAAGTGCTTAAGGCTTGAGTGCACAAAAGGAATTAGGCACCTAAAAGAGGGACTTGGGTGCCTAAGTCTCAGTTTTGGCACCACTGCAATGCACAAAAGTCTCACCTAAGTTCTTAAGTTTTTGCTGTAAAAGTTCCCTTTAGGCCCATGTTTCTGTTTCAGATCATGTTCACTGCTGCCTCCTGCTAGGCATCCAGACACCTATGTTCTGCCTCAGCCCCAGAGCAACTCACAGACCAGGGGAAGACCAGTGTTTGGCTGCCTAAGTTGCATGAAGGAATCTGATCTCATAGGCATCCTCTGAGCATGCCCAATGGATCCAGCCCTTCAGGCACATTCAAACAGAACAGGAGGGAAGTGGGGGAGGAGTTCCCTCATAGCTTTTAGCCCAGTGGCTAGGGTACTCATCTGGGATTCAAGTCCTCTCTCTGCCTGAGGGGAAAAAGGGATTTGAAAAAAGATCTACCGTTTCTCAGGTGAGTGCCCTAACCAGTGGACTTTGGGATATTCTGATGTGAGGGCTCCCTCAGTCTCTCCTGTGGAAGCCATTGCACTCTGGATACATACTCAGAGTCACTGGGGGCTGCTGGGAGAGAGAGCGAATGAGAATGACTATGCAGGAGAGTTACTCTATAGCCTGTGGTTAGAGCACTCACCCAGGATGTGGGAGACCCGGGATCTAGCCCACTGTACCCATGACTCTTCAGAGTACAATAGCTTCAATAGACTAAGGGAAGCCCCACATCAGAATACCCCATAACTAAGGATAAGATGTTGTCACCAAGGCCATGGAAGTCACAGATTCCGTGATTTTCAGAGACATCCGTGACATTTTGTGCTTTAGCCCCATGCCAGGGGTGGCAGGAGCCCTGGAGTACGCAGCCCCATGCCAGCGGCAATGGGGGCCCTGGGGCTGTTAATCACCCTCCTCAGTAGTCAGCCTCTCAGCCCCCCATTATTTTTAGTAAACGTCACAAACTGGTCATGGGCTTCCATGAATTTTTGTTTGTTGTCTGTGACCTGTCTGCGACTTTTACTAAAAATAACTGTGACAAAATCTTAACCTGACACACAACCCAATGGCTAGGGCACTCACCTGAGAGGTGGCAAGTCCCTATTCAAATCACTTACCCATCTCAGGTGGAGGGGGAACTTGAACTGAGTTAAAAGCTATGAGGGAGCTCCTCCTCCCCTCCTGCCACTGGGGTTTCTTGTTAAAACAGCATAGGTACCTAACTGCAGGGGAGGTTCACAGCTGAAAATTGCTAGCAGAGTTATGCACCTCTCTGCAGCCTGGACTTAGGTGCCTATTTCTGTGAGAGAGACAGGGCTTCAGGGCTTTCTCTCAGTTCCCTGCAGGTCAGCTTAGCTGCAACTTTGGTGATTTCCAATGAGGGAAAGTCGGTGTTCTCTAATCCAGGGGTTCTCAAACTGTGGGTCAGGACCCCAAAGTGGATCACAAGGCTGGTGTTAGACTTGCTGGGGCCGAGGCCAAAGCCCGAGCCCCAACGCCCATGGCTGAAGCCGAAGCCCGAGCCCCACCACCCAGGGCTGAAGCCAAAGCCCGAGCCCCACTTGCCAGGGCTAAGGTTACAAGTCCCCTGCCCAGGGAAGAAGCCCTTGGGCTTCAGCTTTGCCTGCCCCCCCACCATCACCCCTTCCCCTCCCCACCTGGAGCAGCAGGGATAGGGTGGGCTTGAGCTTTGGTCCCCCCTCCTGGGGTCGTATAGTAATTTTTGTTGTCGGAAGGGGAGGGTCACGTGCAATGAAGTTTGAGAACCGATTCAGTCTAATCCAATGGTGATTCAGTTTCTCAAAAGGTATTATTCGTCTCTAACCTCCTGTTCCTATGTATGACTTAAATGCAGTGCTGGCATCTCTTATGGACCCTCCATATGAACCTTTAGCTAATTGCTCTCTGGCTGACCTTTTTCAAAATATCGCTTTTCTCATTTCAATAACTTCCCTCGGAAGAGTGAGAGAAATTCAGGCCCTTATGTCAGGCCCTCCGTATGCCCAGTTCTTCAAAGTTAAAATGGCCGTACAGCCACCTCGTAAGTTTTTGACAAAAGCTGCATCATCCTTTCATCTGAACCAAATGATACACTTACCTTCCCAAAGCTGCACTTCAGTAGTGAGGAGCAGCATCTTCATATGTTAGATGAGAGAAGAGCATTAGTTTTCTTAGGCTTAGACGACACTAAGCCCTTTTGAGCATCTCCTTTGCCTTTTTGTTCCATATGCTGATAGAAAGAAAGGCTATGCAGTTTCAGCACCGGCTATTTCCAGGTGGATTGCAGCTTGCATCACAACAGACTATTGGGTAGCATAACTTCCTTCTCCAGAAGGGCTCTTAGCTCAGTCCACAAGAACACAGTCTAACACAGACATATGTAGGGCTGCTACGTGATCTTCCATACATACCTTTTCAGCATTATGTTATCAGATTGCTTCCAGATATGATGCAAGTTTCAGAGAAACAGTTTTGCAATCACTATTCAGGTAGATCCAAGCCCCACTTCCTATCAGAGCTGCTTGGAAGTCACCTGAGTGGAATACATGTGAGAATTGCTCAAAGAAGAAAGGACAGTTACGTACCTGTAGCTGTTCAAGATGTGGTTCACACACATTCCACAACCCTCCCTCCAACCCCTCAGCATTGGAGTCTCTGGCCTTATATTCTGGTGCAAACAAACTGAGGAGGATTGGAGCGACGCCGACACTAAATAGCCGTGGAAGGGGCCAGAAGGAGGTATACGGCATGTGTGTTTCCCTGACAGGTATTGCTACAGAAAATTCTCCAGGCATGCTGGGTGCGCACACACCTGAGTGGAATACATGTATGAACCACATTTCAAAGAACAAGTTACTGTACATAACCATTCTTTGAAATCTGCTCTCTTGATACAATTATGGCTAGGTATGTATTTAGTTTTTAGTGAAAAGAGATTTTAAAATGTGTTCTCAATGGAGGTATTATAGAACAGTTTGTCCACAAACAGTAAGCACTGGCACCATAACAAATGGAGTATGCTTCAGTGTTGCTTGGAAGTTGGTGGCTTTGTTGTCAGCACTCCCTCAAGTAGTAATACAGATGTCAGGATAAAGCTGCTTTTCATGGTGTTTAGCCATGAGTTTATGAGCCCCAGGCAAACAACAAGGTTCTCATGGTTCTCTAAGAGACAATATTTTTGGAAACATTAAATCTGATCCACAAAACAGGGCATCTAATCATCTCACATGCATATACAGTTTTCAAACTTTTAAAATTTCAATAAAAAATGATGAATTGATGTGAGAGCATGATAAAGTTGTGCTATAAGGACAGCATAGTTCCTTACCATTCTTCATGTAGTGACTTACATTGATTTTAGTATGTGTTTCCATGTATATAAGTATCTGTGGTCCATTTGAGACAATTCAGTCTGTTGCCTTTACAGATCCTTCCCATAAAGTTCTATGTTCCATAGTTTTGATTCACCCTTTCACCAATTTATCCCATCAATACTAGCAAGTTTCATTCTTCCTATAGTCCTTGGGGTGTATATAGAGTGGAATGGTTTAAATCAGAACAATTTAAGTCACCAATTTTGTCATGATTTAAATCAGCAAGAAGAAACCTTGATTTAATTTATCAATTTTAATTGGGCTTGCATTTGTATTTCAGTTATTTTCCTAATCCATCTTGTTTCGTGTCCTGTGTCCAACAGTGGCTATTACTAGATGCATCAGAAGAAAGTGGCTTTTCTCTTACAAGACTATTGTTAAACAAAAAGAAACACGCCATGCTGTCTAGCTTGAAGCAAGACAGTCTATATCCTGTATATTATAACTGCAGATATTCTTGTTAATCATATGTAGGTCTAATCCTTTTTTTTAAATCTTACTAAGTTGTTTCTCACGGTGATATCTTTTTGGAGTGAATTCCACAGATTAATTATAAACTAGGTAAAAAACTCATCACATATCCTTTTATTAATTTTAAATTTGTTGTAAACAGGAGCTCCCACTTGACCCTGTTCCTTATTTTGTACATACTTCTAAAGTACCTTCTTATTTCTGATTATTTAGATTCACAAGCAATGAGGAGTTTGACAGGCTAGCTAAATTTTATCCCAGTTAGAAATGTACAGTGAGAAAGTCCCAGCCCTCATTTCTAGATGTGAGAAAATTACTTCTGCTCATATATATGTGCTTGAAGTACATTTCTTTTCTGTAAAAATGGCATTTTGGTGTTTCATGCTTAATACTTCTCAATAAGTTCTGTATCAAACATGCTCTGTTTACAAGTAAACTGATGACTTTCTAGCTGTCAGTTCTAGGATCTGAGTGGAAAACTGGTTCTTTCCAATGGGTACATCATCACCAGTAATAAAGGTTCTGCAGGCTAAATTATAACTCCATTTATACCTATGCAACCAGGTTGTCTTTAGTA